CAGCTGCTGTAATGCTGCGATGACTGAACCAAGCAGTGAAGCAATTAAAAGCTACTTGAGAGAAGGAGAATTTCCCAGGAAGAGAGATGTCCCACCCTCAGTAACTATTTCTATTTACACAAGCTGACACACCAGCAGCTGGGTAATACCCTTCTCAGAGAGGGATTTTAGATATGCTTATTCCAGCACAGGTATAAACTAGGACTAGCTATGTTAAAAAAAACCCCAAAACTAAAAAGAAAAACCCCACAGCAATGATATATTGCAGTGAAATGCATACCTGAGACAAAAATAAAATCAGGCCTTTTCTTCAAGCTCAGGAGCAGTATTCAGAACACAGTGAATATAAAACTTTATGGGATTTACAAAACAAAGAACTCTCCTGATGTCTTTCCTAATAGGAAACTGGCATTGTTTTATACCTCACTCTGGCTAAATGTCATTAATGCACCAGATGAAAGATTGGATCATACGGTATAAATCACTGCAGCTCCACTGACCTTAGCTGCTAGAGCAGGAGCTGGTATCAAGTTGGTGTATTGTAAGGGGAAGCTCTACACAGGTCCAGAAGGCCTTGATTTCATACCCTGCAATAAAATCCGTAAAGGGAGAGGGTTAGCAGTAAAGGGTTATAGGTCTCCCAACTCAGTAAAAGGATTAGTTTCAGATGTATTAGATTACAGCCTAACAGGCTGACATCCTGTATCAGCAGTTTTACTGGGTGCCAGCAACTCCTCCACTAAGGCAGTATCTGGATGGCTAAAGGAAGAACTTAAATACCTCTGTGTCACACATCGCCAGCACAAGATGAATGAAGACATGATTTGAAATATGCTTTGTTACTCCTAAATTTGCCCCAGGGCACAAAGAGCATTCCACCTACACACACTGTGAAACACAAGGCCTGTCTAGCTGCTAGAAACACATCACAGCCAAGGGAAAGACATTTCACCTGTTTTAGTTCAAGCTAAAACACAGCACCATCAGATACTGCAGTGCAGAAAAGATCAACAGCACAGTCCAAGATGCTCTTGACATGAGGTTCAAACATAGCTTTTCAGCTAGACCCTTGACTTTTGCCCTCCCTCCTTTTTTTAAAAACATTTCTTTATTCATTACAACAAATTCTCTGAAAAACCTGAAAAATATCACAAAATTAACAACATGGAACTTTGCAACAGAAGATGAAGATTGGTAATGCAATAAAGGCAACCGTCTGTGCTGATTTTCCTAGGAGAAATGTCTGTACCCCAAGTCCTTGGTCAGAAGCAAGGGGGAAATAAGTGAATGTTGATCACTTGACAGCACTGAAAGAAGCAAAGTCTCAAAGAGTACACACTAGACACGAACTGGAATAAAGCACTACACAAGTATTACCATTGTAAAAGCTGGATATTCATGGATCTGTAAGAAGCAGGGACAGACTGCAACAGGCAGACAAAGGAGGGAACAAACAGGAGTAGAAATATCACTGTAAGGCAACTTTAAGGGAAAACAAAAGTAGAACCATTTGAAATCCACCTTGAAGTTCCCATTAGCACTGTGTAGTTGAAATGCTTGGATTGCAAGCAGGACCCATCAAAGCAGGCAGATGCTTTGCACTGCTAGGTGCTTTGACAGAAGAGTCTCAGTCCTCTCGGAGATAAGGTGCAGTAAATAATAACATTTTTACCTTCTGCTACTATGTCATATAAAGAAACCTGAATGGCAATGTTTGTAGAAAGCTTATCTTTCCCCATGCTTGAAATAATTACAGGGTTCATCACAAAGCTATTGATGGCTATAAGAGCCAGGAAAGCTAGGAAAGGTAGATATAAAAGATTAAAAATAGTGAAGCCAGAATATCAGAGGGGAGGAGTTTTTCTTGGGATCGTGGGCCAAAGGTTCCCCTGGCTAACTCCCCCGGAGTTGGTGGAACAACGCCAAGAGACAACAGGCTTACGTCTTTGTCAATACACCTTGTCAATAGAGAGCTGCCTGGCTCAATTTAACTGTTGCTCTTCCCTTGCAGACTTCAAGGAGGCCTTCCTCCTCTTTGACAGGACTGGTGATGCCAAGATCACCCTGAGCCAGGTTGGCGATATCATCCGGGCACTGGGGCAGAACCCTACAAATGCTGAGATCAACAAGATCCTGGGCAACCCCAGCAAAGAGGGTAAGTACCCTACAGTCTCTCATGGGCCCTTCTTCAGGCTGGGGAACTGTAATTAGGCAACATCAATAGGCACAGCAGGTAGGAGAGGAGCTTTTGCTCCAATAGGGAAGCAGGGGGGCATGGGGGCTTTGTAGCAACAATACAGGGAATTTCTCTAGTTCCTTCTGAAGAGGATGATGATGGGGAATACAGTGCTCAGAAAAAGGAAAGCTTTCTCCTTAGGCTATGGAGAATTCTCTGTAAGGATCATTTTGGTGTTAACTTGGTGTAGGTGTAACACACACTCATTGCTGCTCACCTGTGCCCCAGCCCTTGCTGAGGAGCTGTTAAGCCCATTTCTAACAGCTGATACTCAGCTCTTCAGGTCCTTCCAGTGCAGGATCTTCTGCATAAGCCAAGACATGCCCTGGGACTGGAAAACCACTTGTATGTTTCTGCTGACTGGGGTGGTCTGCTCAAAGCTCCTACCAAACCTGGGCATGCTGAGGCATATGTTGGCCATTTATTATATCATTCCTTTTCTCCCCTCTTAGAGATAAAAGAAATGGTAAATACTGTAGTCATCTCCTTCTAACAAGGACCTAGCTGCAGGTGATCTCTGATTTCAGTCATGCAGAACCATATTAAGATGGGTTAAATTATATCCAAACTCTCAGGACTGGTAAAGGCAGCTCTGAGGAACAGTTCAGAAGACCTGAGTTAAGCATTAGCGCCAGCAAGAAGCACTGAGCAGAGGCCTAACACAGAACTGAGACCATGACAGTACTTTAAGTGACTACAGCAATCACTGTCAGTAATTTTTATATAGCTGGGTAGTAAAATAGTTTCTGTAAATAACTGTATATTCAAAAGTCTCTCCCATGTTTCCATGTATTATATTTCATCGCTGTCCAGATGAAGGCTGCACTTTGCAAATATTGGGGGGGGGGGCAGGGGAAATAAAAAAAAAACCACACCCCACACATTTTATTTGGCATCCTTGCTCCAACAAAAACCATTTGGGGAACGCCTCACTGAGGACTACAACTCATAAGACCAAAGGGGTTAGATGCACTAAGCTTGTGAGCCCTTAAAATTCCAACTGAACGTGTTAAATAGTAGATTTGGACACCACCCCCACTGGACTTTCCTGGTTTTAATCAGTTTATTCTTTTGCTAATAGTCTCCACTATCGCATCCAAGAGACCCTGAAGAGGTCAGTAACATGATGTCAGCAACCTCAGGGGCTTGTCTAAGTTGCAACATCCCACTCTGGTTATCTTTTCCAACTGCTTGGGGTTCAAGATTTCTGTTTTACTGTATTCTGAAGTTCCCACACTCCCCAAATCCTTTCATCAATCAACTTGTACAGCAAGTTTCATTTCTGAAAGAAAAATACACCATGCACATAAGCATAATAAAATTATGTGAGAAGAGGGGTGGAGGGAGGATGTGAAAATTAACTCACGCTGTAAGACAGAATCCAGATTCTGCAAAGAAACTGCCAAATCCTGAGGCAAAGACTAAAGGACAGAAAGAGGTGTGTATATGAGGTGGGAGGCTTTCCTACATTTGAGGGCAAATATCCCAAAAGAACACATAGAAGTGTCTAGCACATAGCAACTGGTGCTTTCTTTCCAGAGATGAATGCCAAGAAAATTACTTTTGAAGAGTTCCTGCCCATGTTGCAAGCAGCTGCTAACAACAAGGAACAGGGTACTTACGAAGACTTTGTTGAAGGTCTGCGTGTCTTTGACAAGGAAGGCAATGGCACAGTCATGGGGGCTGAACTCCGTCATGTACTGGCTACTCTGGGTAAGGGATTACCATCTCTGTGAGCATTTTAAAAATTGTTGTTGTTTGAAGGCCTGAAAGAGGGAGGAAAGGTACTCTAATCAGTTTGGACAGGTAGGAGGCTACAAAGCCAGACAAGACTCTGGGTTTCCTAACCGGGAATCTGCAAGAAAAGCAGACACAAAACACAGTAGAAAGCTCAAAGGAAAAGGTTTGGTTTATTACTTCTAAATTTGGACTAGGTATTAAGAGTGCCTGTTATTTGAGGAATTAGGAAAAATCACAGAATATGTCTGTGTTGGAAGGGACCCATAAGGATTGATTCCAACTCCCTGCTGCTTGCAGGACTACCTAAAACCATATGACTAAGAATATTGTCCAGACTCTCTTTGAACTCTGACAGGGTTGGTGTTGTGACCACTTCCCTGGGGAGCCTGTTCCAGTGACCAACCACCCTCTCAGTGAAGAGCCTTTTCCAAATGTCCAGTCCGAACTTCCCCTGAGGCAGCTTTACACAATTTCCTTGTGTCTTATCACTGGTCACCACAGATAAGAGATCAGCACTTCCCCATCCGCTGCCCCTCTGGAGGAAGTTGTAAATAAGTTGTACGGAAAAGGCTGTATGCCTCAATGACATAAAGCACAAGGACAAAGAGGATTTGCTGCATAGTTTCTTCACGCTGTAGGAGTAACTAGAACCCCTGTGTCTATATACATGTGCAAAACTTCTAAAGAAGCTTAAAAGTAAAAGCTCAACTCAGTTATAGATCTTTTTGTTGCTAACTCAGAAAATAAGGAAAGCCCTTGGAAAAGCTATAGGGTTCAGCTTCAGCTGCATGTCTGTGGAAGAATTAACCAAGCTCTCTCCACTTTCCAGGTGAGAAGATGACAGAAGAGGAAGTAGATGAACTCATGAAAGGTCAGGAAGACTCCAACGGCTGCATCAACTATGAGGGTAGGTGCAAGGGTTCAACGCCCTCTCATCCTACATTTCTTCTCTCTGTGTTTCACTGCAGTTGCCTTTTAGCTTCTCAGGCAAATCAGTTAGACAAAGCTACAGCTGAGTTAGGTTGAAAGGCTTATGCATGAAAACAGCAGCTGCAGTATGCTTAGCCTGCGGTCACACTGCTCAAAAGACTAGATTCAGCTATAGCAGAGAAAGCTACTTTGGTCAACAGCAGATCTCTAGACTCTCTGACTTCCTGCAGAGCAGTTGCAGTGATTGGAACCAATCCTAGAGCTAATCCTTGGACAAAGTGTACTATTTGACATGTATTTAGTCTTATCACACTTAAGCAGGAAGAGAATTTGGTTTGTACAACATTAAACACTTAGAACTTCCTATCACAAAGTTGAGTCAAATCTGATCAGGAACGTGGGTTTTTAATTCCATCAGCTCATAAACAGCTGTTATTTCTAAAGCTATTTCCCAAAGTAATATTTGCTGCTCCTTCTAACTAGCATATCTGTATTTTTCCACAGCGTTTGTAAAGCACATCTTGTCTGTCTAAATGGACTTCCCCAGATACCAAATGGTACGTTGTTCTCATTTGCACACTTAACCTTGTCTATCTGCTACACTTAAAGGCTTCTACATGCCCATGGAGAGACATAAACAAAGTGTTACAAAACCAACATGAGACCATCTCCCCAACCATACAAATAGAACAAAAAGAGACTGTTGTCCAAAAGCAAAGAAAACAGGAGTGCAGATTCCTGGGTCTTGTTCACAGCTCTATAACTGCTTGGAAACTGTGTTTAATGGATTTTGCAAACATACCCAAACTGTGAAAAGAAATGCTCAGTTTATTCATGAGCATGGAAATGCTTACATGTCACCTTAGATCTCTGTTGTCTTACAAAACTGGAGTTTAAGCTATGCAAACTGACAGTTTGAGACATTTATCCTATAGGCACATTGAGATTTTGTTTTTGTTTTTGTTTTTTAATCAAAGCAACACCTTCTGATAATTTGTAGATTCTGTAAAGACAGAGTAGCCTGAATACTTGTGTGAACTTGTGCATACTAAGAACAGCTCTCCAGATGAAATAATCATCCGAAAAAGAGTATTCTAACAGTCATGATCAATAGTCAAGAGGGCTTCAAAAGTACCAAATCATTCAGCAGTTCTTCTACAAGCAAGGAAAAAACAAAACAAAACCTTCAACCTTGATATGCTGCTATTTTGTCCAAAGAAAAACCTAGCAGCTGTCTTTAAAATGCAAATGTAAAACATCATGGCTCTGTGGGCTTTGAACTGTTAGTTATTCTAGCCCAGGAAAGACACATTCCCATGTTCCTGTATGAAACAACGAACACCTCAAAATAGAGATCAAGGGCTCCGTTTGTAATTTTGCGAGTGCTTCTTGTGCCGACATTGACTTTAAGTCCAACTCTCCCATTCCTTCCCAGAACAAGTCAGATTCAGAAAGTCCAGATGGCACTCGAGATTTGCCTGAAATTCTTGCTCAGTCTGTCACCATCAACGTGGAAACTGCATAGAACTGGATGGTGTGCCTCCAACCCCATCACTTTTTACCAGTGCATCAACAGGTATCACCTCTGGGTTACTACACCTTCATTTAAAAAAGTCTGAACTTTCACCAAGGCAAGCTAGATGGAATAAACTGCTACCATCCAGGATCCATCCATCCAAAGCATCTCTTTCCATGTTGTTTGCACTGAAACAATATAATATCTTGGAAAAATAAAGCATCAATAAACCCCTGTGGTCCCTTTGTGGCTATAAAGTCTTGGTTGTTTTTTTTTTCCCCTCTAAACCTGTTCAAAGCCACTCAAAGCAGCACTCAGAACTTAATTTATTTTCTCTGTATATTGTATTTCACACAATAAAGTTTTATGGAAAAAAAAAAAAATAGGCATCTCCAGGAGATAACTCTACTTAATCTGAATGAAAAGTGTTTTCTTTGGGGACTGGGAGAAAGAGTAATTAGGGACCTACCACCTACATCAGTACTTAAACATTTTTGGGACAAGGAGACCTGGTAGCTGGTGTCAGAACAGCTCCAAGGTGGCAGGTGCCCTGGTGCACTAGGCAAGACCCAGAACCAGCCAGGGTGGCCCTGATGCAGGGGGCCATGCAGAGCCG